CGATTAATATACTTCATTATACTTTTAATTAATCGCGCGAAGTTATATTCACGATAGTATATCAATAACAATTCTGTGAAGATGTATTCACAATAACAAGGCAAGGGAAAATCAATATGTATTCGAAACTGTATGTTATAGTTATTATCGTACGGGTCTGACGTAACAACCCGTGCGTACCCGGGCGCAATTAATTAAAAGTATAATGAAGTATATTAATCGTTTAGTGTACAAATAAAGTTTTAGTTGAAATTACTGATTTATTATAAATATGATTTGTCTTCGCACAGTAATTTAAAGTAACTCTTTCTTGATATGTTGAATAGAATTTTAACAATCAACGATTTTGAAGCGCTATAATTAATAAACCTTTCCTATGTCATGAATACAGAAAAAAAACATATTCAAATGACTTCGCAATATCGATCGGTTTAAAAAGGAAAAAAAAGATCGCAAAAACGTTAAATGAATTTGATACTAAAGCTTCAGCACTAATGATCAAGGATCTTTTAATTATACTACTAAAACATCCACCAATGTAATTTCAATTATTTATTTCCATTATTTTAATTTATCTATTAACTATATTTAATAATTTTTTTTAACCCAGATAAGGTTTCCATTGCCAAAAATCATATGATTCCGAATTTGAACTTTTACAAAGAAAGCTCGATTTCATTCTCAAAACCAACAAATACCTTAAAATTAACAAACGCCTATGCATCAGAATCAACAAATGCCTACATCTCAGAACTAACAAGTGAAAAAGAACAAACGACGCTAGTAGAAAATAATTGTCATAATCAAATAATTTAGCACTGTAAAGAAAAGATGAAGTATCGGTGCCCATTGCAAATAAAAAAGACTGTAAAGTATAATAGCAAATTACAAATAATATTATTATTCAATTTTCCTGATGCCAGCAAACCGATCGATCTCAATTGAAAATTTCTTACAATAATCAGTTCAAAATGTATTGTTTTATTTTTCAAATAAAATATATAATGCCTAGCCAATTATTATTTGCGTTTTACTCAAGCTAATTACAATTTAAAAAGTACACTAAT